TATCTAAAAACCAACTTGATTTTGTTTTTTAATTTTTTTTAATGTTTATTTATTTTTGACCGAGAGAGAGAGACAGAGCATGAGCAGGGGAGGGACAGAGAGAAAGGGAGACACAGAATCCAAAGCAGGCTCCAGGCTCTGAGCTGTCAGCACAGAGCCCAACGCAGGGCTTGAACTCATAGACTGTGAGATCATGACCTAAGCCGAAGTCGGACGCTCAACCGACTGAGCCACTCAGGGCCCCCCAACTTGATTTTTTTTTATAGGTAACCTGTGTTTGTGCCGGCTTCCTGCAAGACTTGTCTTTATTGCAATTCAAAGATTTAGAAAATATTCACTGAACATGTTTATAATAGCAAAATATCAGAAATGATATAACTATCTATTTGAATAATACAGCTATAAGGAAAAATGAGGGGGGCACCTGGGTGGCTCAGTCAGTTAAGCATCCAACTCTTGATTTCAGCTCAGGTCATGATCTCAGGGTCCTGAGTCAAGCCCGCACATCGTCTGGCTCTCTATTGGGCTCTCTGCTGGGTGTGGAGTCTGCTTAAGATTCTCTTTCTCTCTCTCTCCCCCTCCTCCCCATACCTGCTGGCTCTCTCTCTCTCTCTCTCTCTCTCTCTCTCTCAGAAAGAAAAAGAAAGAAAAGAAAAGAAAAGAAAAGAAAAGAAAAGAAAAGAAAAGAAAAGAAAAGAAAAGAAAAAAGAAAAGAAAAGAAAAAAGAAAAGAAAAGAAAAAAGAAAGAATAAGGAAGATCTCCACGGGCTAATAATGAGTTCTAGGGGAAAAAAGCAAGGTGAGGAATATATATAGTATGCTATGCCTTCCATAAGAAAGGACTTTTATGAGAAAGGAGAGCTAATAATGGGGAGAAATAAATATGTAAATATGAATATATACACAAAATGTTTTTTTACTTATCTATTTTTCCAAAGGGAAACAAGAGAAGAATAAACCAGGAAATTAGCACGCAAGGAATCCAAGTGGTTCTTGGTCCCTATACTCAATGCTAACAACTAGGGGACAAAGTGACACTGCTCTAAATTTAACTCCTGGTTTCTTAAACACATTTACTCACTGCAGCCTTGGTCTAGCCGCATCCCAGCTTCCCCTTCCCATTGATTCTCTGAACTCATGGAATACCTGAGAAATGGTATGTCCTGTAGACAGGACTCCCTTCCCTGCCTGGCCTATAGTACTCTAGTGTGGACCACACCTCTTGTACTGTAATGCCATCAATATTCTGCCTGTCCAACAGGGACCCAATATCCTTACACAGAGAAAAATCAGGGAGTTAGAAGGGAGTAAGAGGACAAATACCATTCTAGTCCCTAAAACAGCATCAAGTGATGCTCTGCAGGGAGGTCTCCTGAGTTCCTAGCTGGCAGAGGCTTTGGGTAGCTGAGCCAGGTAAGCGACAATGGGAGGTAGATAAATGCCTTTTCCCAGCCATTCCTGATTCCACAAGATGAGGTCAGTGTACATTTATCTCAGATCTGTCCTAAAGATTAAGACACACAGCTTCCTGAGTTCCTAGATGCTACTGCTGCCACTTTTTGCTCCTTCACAGGTATCTCAGTAGGAAATCTGAGGAAGCTGCACTGAGGGCAGACACCATGTTAAACTGCAAGCCTCTTGGTTCTCTGTGCTCTTGATTAATGTTGTCATTAACAGCCCAGTTTTCTAAACTAGAAATCTGTAACTTATCAGGGCTTCCTTCATTCACCTTTTATCCAATGAATACATCAAATTCGACTTCAGAAATACTCTCATATCTGATCTTTATTCGATCTATTCCAATTCCTTGGTCCGGGAACTCAAAATGTCTTCTTAGAAAAATGCATTTAAAAACTTTCAATTTGGAGACAGATGGGTAAATAGGTATTATTATACAAACTTTCTCTATTTCTGCATATGTATGAAAATTTTCATTTAAAAAGTTTAAAATAGTAAGCCTTCAATGATGAGACTGACAGCATTTTACTGATAATGATACAGTCTCGGACTAGCCTATTTCCAGGCTTGCTTTTCCTCTGATTTTGAAGGGAAGTACTTCAGCAACTTAGCTTCCTTTTATATTTTTAGACATTAACGTAAGTGATGCAGCAAATATTACAGTTTTAAAGTCTTAAGGTACAGAAGTATGATTTAAACAAAAGTAGTTATTCCCAGTAAAATTATCGATGTTTCAATTTGTGGAAAAGTATTATGCTTTTATTTTTCAAAACTGGTTTTGAATTTTTTCCCTTTTCTTTTGAACTTCAGACTTACCTCCCTTGGCCTTTTCCCTGTTTCCACCCAACCTCTCTACTTCTTCCTGGTCTTGATCCCAGATCATTTTTCTCATCTTCTATATAAAGAATCCATTTTTAAGTGTCTATGTGATCGTTGCCCCTTGTATTTATACACATCAGGGAGCTTGTTTCAGTGCACAAGTGACCTGGGAGAAGCCCAGAGTCTGTGTGATCCCCTCTGAAGCCTCAAGAACTACACTGAGTGTCATGAGATGCTCAAGACCTACTGAAAATGAAGACTGAAAGAGTAGTACAATCCCTTGTTCACGGGAATTTGTTTTGCCACAGTTCTCCAGCAGATGTCACTGGTTAGCAACATGAAACTGTACAAAGTGACCAGAGACTATCCAGCACAATTTCTTCTTCCAAATTTTAACTGATGCTTCCTTCATCCAGAATGTGAATCATTTTTTTTTTTAATTTTTTTTTTCAACGTTTATTTATTTTTGGGACAGAGAGAGACAGAGCATGAACGGGGGAGGGGCAGAGAGAGAGGGAGACACAGAATCGGAAACAGGCTCCAGGCTCTGAGCCATCAGCCCTTGAATCATTTTTTAAAATATTTTACTTTTAAGTAATCTCTAGACCCAATGTGGGGCTTGGACTTATGACCCTGAGATCAAAAAGTCACACACTCCACTGACTGAGCTAGCCAGGTGCCTCCAGAAAGGTGAATCATTAAATGTGCTGGTGAAAGAAAACCCTTTCATTTCTACAAAGAAATGAGCCGGATCCTGGTCACAGCCTGAGACCCTATGCTGTCCTGCGAGCTCCCATGAAGAATTAACTCAGCCTGTGCGTATTAGTCAGCTTGGGCTGCCATTACAAAATACCAGTCTGAGTGGCTTAAAGAACAGAAATCTATTTCCTCACAGTTATGAAGGATGGAAGTTCAAGATCAAGGTATTGGCACATTGTTTTTCTCCTGGGGCCTCTTCACTTGGCTTGTGGATGGCTGCCTTCTTGCTGAGTCCTCACATGGTCCTTTGTCTCTATGGTGCACTCATGGTGTCTTTTCCTCTCTCTCTCTCTCTCTCTCTCTCTCTCTTTTTTTTAAGTAGGCTCCATGCCCAACTAAGGGCTCCAACTCAGACCCTGAGATCAAGACATGAGCTGAGATCAAGAGTCAGATGCTTAACCAAAAATAGCCACCCTACTTCCTCTTCTTATAAGGAAATCAGTCCTACTGGATTAGGACTCCACCCTTAACACCTTACTTAACCTTAACTGCCTCTTTTTTTTCAAAGGCCCTATTTCCACATACAGTCATACTGGGGGGTTAGGCTTCAACATAAGAATTTGAGGGGGACACAATTCAGTACTTAACACTGGATTTGTAAGTTATCTTAAGTACTGTTTGGTGATATTTCAGCTGAAGATAGCTATTGGTGGAAAAAATCCTGAATACTGTGAAAGGATATTAAGACAAAA